ACCAACTTGTCACCCGATCCAAAATACTCGGGGTGGAATTTTGACCAATTAAGTAATTCCGTAGCAAACAGCAAAATGCAAAAGAGGAAATCAGCACTCATTTGGAAGCCTTAGACGTTTCAAAGAATTGACATAATAAGCAAAAGCAAGAATTATTGGATAAAATCCAAAGCCTTGAAAGTGAAGTTGAGCAATTAAAGAAACAGCAAACCCAATTAACTGCTCAAATTGAAGTTAAAGAAAATAAAAGATGGTCTTGATTGAAAGTAAAAAAGTAATTTAAATTTCACAAGTAATTTTTCTTGATCTAGATATTCCTGGAGAGTTTGGGTATTATTGATTTTAAAAATGTAAGAGGCAATTTGTCTCCTTGAGCTTTTTTTAGAATACTTCTAATGGTGCTATAATTCTTGGGTTCCATGGTGGATTTAATGTAAATTAGTTTCATATTAATATTTTTTATATAGAGGTAGTCCTATATTACTCCTGATATGGTTTATATTCATCACATTTTGGTATGATAAAGTGAAAATTAAAATTAACAGTCTATAAGTTATGGATAGCACTATTATTTTTTTCAAAATGTTACGAGTCAAATTAGTTAACTTTCAGCCACATTAGTCTCACATTTATGTCACTTAACAGAGTGTTCACTTTGTCTGGTTTTGTTGCAGCATGCCCCATATTAACTCAGCAGACATACTCGTGCTGCAAAACTATTCCCTGATGATTCATTTTTGATATTGATACTAACTGATGTAATGGAAATTTGAATAACCAATACCGATGACGAATACAATTAATTACGATTGATTGCCACGCACTAACTTGCTGACCTTAGCAACACAGTAAGCTCTGCCTTTAGTATCTGAATGTTCTACATCTAAACTTATACACTGATATATTATATTTAGAAACCAACGTGTCAGGTTATTGCCAATAAATTAATCAAGCTATTGATTAATAGGTAAATATTTGCGTTAACAAGCCTGCTCGACGAAGCCGGGCAGGCACACTTGAAATTCTAGTTATTACTAATGTTAATATTAATTTGTTTGTTTAAACGTGTGAATGTTACACCAGCTACTGGGGCACAACGTAAATTGAGCACCTACCACATAATATTAACAGCTAACGGTAACCATGTCCCGACAAAAAGTATCATTTATCCTTGTTGCTCTTGGACTGTTCACTCTAGTGGCTGTGATGTTTAACCAAGGCTTTTTCAAACAAACCCTTACTACTGATGTAAAAATTTGTAAGTCACAACAGACCTGATTGTTAAGTCAATCTCGCTTTCAGCATGATGACAGCGTTTTCAATTGCTTGAATATGGCAGCGCAAAGTAGATACTTCATTTTGCTCAAAGATGATGCGACCCCAGAAGATTTGGAAAAAGTTGAAGCACATATTATTAACACTGGAGGCAAGATCGTTCATAGATACACGGAGGTTCTCAAGGGATTTGCCATCTCTATGCCTGAAGACGTAGTTATGACGATGATAACCAGCGTAGACTCCACTGAACTCGATCAGCCAGGTAAAATGTTGAGCATTAGACAATAACATCACATGTTTAACTGAGAATGATTGTATACTGAAGATATTATTCGTTATTTTCTTTATCCATAAAGAGTATTATTAACGCCATAATGTAATATTAAGTCTATAAGTTATTCAACAATTCATCTTTTAAAGTAAGATACATTCGCTTAAGTTTTCTATTGCTTTATTAAATTTGCGATAAGTTACGTATGATTCATTTAAGATATAAAACTCAAGCCTCCCATTCAAGAAGATAGGTTTGTGGATTGATATTGGATGCGGTAATGATGGTAGTGACTACTATTAGCGATAAATAGATAGTATTTATGCACTTTGATCTGACCATCGATATTCTCACGAGTGTTTTCCTATTCCTCTTCCCTATTGATCAAAAAGTACGGGATGAACAGATCGTTAGAAAAAAATGAGCTAGTATTTTTGCGAGTATATTACATGAACAACGTAAGTATCGCAGTCATCCTTTGCGCTCTCGTCTCTAAGCACTCGAAAAGCAATTCGCATCGCCATACATTCTCGAACTTCATATGGGTCATAAAACGAGGTAGTATCCGCAGCCCCGAAGGTTTTACAAATGAGCAGTCATACTTCACTTGCATCAATCATTCGTTCTAATAATAATAGTTTGTTTTTGAAGACGAGAAACAACTATTCAAATGCTGGTATGAAGACGAGGATTGTTATTGCACTAAGGCTTGGTATGTAACACAACGGATGACACAACACCATGTTTCTGTTTATTTTCTCTCTGACGCCACTCCAACCAATCCCCAACACTCATCCGTAATAGAAGCCCAGAAAATCAGGGGTCACCCTATGTGCGCCGCAATAAAGACCTCGTTTGTTGAAAGGAACAATAAACTTGCATTTGTAAAGATAACTTTCGGGTCTATCCAATCATACAGATATTGTTGACAGGCCACTATGCACAAGGAATGCTTACTATAATCTCCCGCAATATACATAGTTTGTTAAAGGAGTCCATCTTGACGAACCATTTGAAGGTTTTGGTGGTTGATATCTTGTTTACAAGTGCGATTATGATTGTTTGCCAATTTAACTTATTTATTGTAGCATCTAGCTTTAAAAGAACAAATTTTCTCAGACTTTCGCCGATTTCCACGAACGATGTGTGATTCAATATTGGAGTCATACAAACATAGGGGAAGTCATATATGAAAGCCCGTATATGAGGGTTTTTTCGCCGATCATTGCCGATCATTGCCGATCATTGCCGATCATTGCCGATCATTTTGCAATAGTAAAAGACATATAAACTTCAAAACCTTATGGCTTTTCAAGGACGTGGGTTGTGGCCTCAAAAATTAGACGGTAGATACTTTCATGCTTGCTTTACCAGAAAATAAGGCGTTTTTTTCATTTTCATTGACGTTATTCTCGGTTTATATATGTATATATATTTTTTGTAGGAACGGCTATCCAATTACTTTATAGCAAGGAAAAAACTTTTCTTAGGTAGAGTAAGCATGAAAGTATCTACCGTCTAATTTTTGAGGCCATAACCCACGTCCTTGAAAAGCCATAAGGTTTTGATCGGCAAATTAAAGACCAAGTACTAGTACGGGAATTTGAGAAACGCCGGTCATTTTATCCTTCAATCCTTGCTAGAGTTAGTGAAATTAGACACCACACGATAGCATATTTCGGGAAAATGGGTTATTATTATTAAAATAATAATTATATTAACAGTAATATGTATAAGGACAACTATTTAGTAGATGAATATATTAAACAATGCAGTCAATATTTATATTATTTATCAAATACTAATATATAATACAGAGTGTTACTTTTTGAAGATATAAGTTTCTAATACAGATTTTGCAGCTTCCTCACCAAATAATTGAACATCCCTTCAATCTGTTGTTAATAAACAACTATAGACCAAATTCTGTACTTTACAAAATCATAAACAAGTGGAAAATTATAAATATCTGAAGCTTGAGATTCTGCAAAGGCAAGAAATTGTTCTAAAAAGTCATCATCATTTAGCATTAGTACTATGTTTGTATTACTATGGATATCGTACCCCCCAATCTATGAAGTACGCTGTGTAAACCTGCGTTTTTTAGATATAAGAGCGGGCAATACGTTGCATGGGGATGATTTGATCAGGTGATCGTCGAAGT